ATGGGGTGGAATCAAGGTCAACTATGGGGTGGAACCCAGGTCAACTATGAGGTGGAACCCAGGTCAACTATGGGGTGGAACCCAGGTCAACTATGGGGTGGAACCAAGGTCAACTATGGGGTGAAACCCAGGTCAGCTATGGGGTGGAACCCAGGTCAACTATGGGGTGAAACCCAGGTCAACTATGGGAGTCTTCCCTAATGGTGCTAAGCTGTAGATTAGTAATCGTAAGTTTGGTCGGGCTTGATATTTCACTGTGTTCGTTGGAGACTTTTATACTAGAGACAGTGGAAGCAGTGGAGAGGTAATTTAAGGCGTTCAGTGTCTTAGCTTTGACGAGTTCATAGAAGGTGCTCAGTCCCTTAGCTGTGAAGAATAGGTAAGTGCTCAGTACCTTAGCTGTGAAGAATGGAGAGGTGTTCAGTCCTCTAGTCTTAAAGAATGGATAAAAGGTGCTCAGTCCCTTAGCCTTGAAGAATAAATAGAAGGTGTTCAGTCTCTCAGTTTTAAGGAATGGATAGAATGTGTGAATTGAGTCCCTTAGCTTGATCTGTCAGGGAGAACTCTCGACACTGATGGCTATGTGTATTGTTTTAATTTTAAGTAATATTTTGCGTTAACCTTCTTTAAGGATAAAATAGCGAGTATGAAGTAGAATGATCAATTAATACGCCGTTATATGATCAAGTAACGAGTATGGTATACCGTAGAATGATCTACTAATGCGCCTTAGCATGACAAAGTAACGAGTGTGACGTTCGAAGCTTTTTGTATTTTTTTCGTTTGCTAGTTTATTTGACTAGGTGAAGGGTGACAAGAGGTAATGATATATGATCCAAGGATCATATGATTACGCCATCAAAGATGGCGAGGTGAAGGGATAATGTGTGGCAGTCTTAAGTTTTAGATCTAGAAATGATATTGGGAAGTACTGTGACTAGAACAATACACAAATAACCCGCTCATAGGAGACTGAAACTTATGACGACGTTTCGGTCTGACTTGGGCCATTAAGTAGTCACGCAGTCACTAGTCACATCGTCATAAGTTTCGGTCTCCATGTGCAGGTTATTTGTGAAGTGGGAAGAACCCGAGTTATGTGTGAGTGGGACAAACTCCCAGGTAGCCTCGCTGAAGCTACGACTTTGGGAGGCTTTAATATAGATTGGACAGGTGTATGAGTGTGTATATCAGTGGTATTATATACCGAGAGGTAAGATATATTATGTAATTTATTGCATTTTATTGTGAAGATCTTTCGTCCACTAGAGACTTTATCAGTTAATAAAGTCCATGGTAGACTAAATATCTTCGGAATAAAATGTCTTATTATCGTGAGTGAACGGGGATGATTGTGAGTTGGACCTGCCTAGCACGGGCCAATAGGCCTACTGCAGTGTCCAACTGTTCTTATGCAATACGAAAAAATCGGCGTTTAATATTTGACAAAATGTTACTTTCAGCGGCAGGAAGAGCTGGATGAGCCTATGACAAGCTTAGCAGATGGATGTTTCCAGTTTTGCCTCAACAAAATTCCTTTCTCCCAGTACATCAGCGTACGTCCCGCAGTTAACGGCAATGTGGACGCATGCGGCTGCCATAACCAGGATGACCTCGATCCAGACAACAAGGTAATACATGAACCACCTTGCCTGTGCTCTGTCGTTCTTACATCTTATGAAATACCTTGATACGTAGCACATAGATCATCGCCCCCGCGGCCCAGTCTCACATAACGCCTGGTCTCAGATATAAGAACACTGAGAAGCACCGGAATCTAAAAATTTTAAGGTTTCTGTCTGCCATCTTACATACTCGTGAGACAGAGACAAGACCAGCAGTCCTTCGGTACTACAAAATGTTTATCGTAATAAAGTTGGTAGAATTACCGACAATATGTAAAGTAAAAGGACACAAATGCAACTAATGTGACATTTATTGTGGCAACGTTTCGCTCTCCAGGAGCTTGATAAAGCTCCTGGAGAGCGAAACGTTGCCACAATAAATGTCACATTAGTTGCATTTGTGTCCTTTTACTTTACAAAATGTTTATCGCTCGTATGATAGGTTATCCTGATAACGAATAAGACACATGAACAACACTTGGATATCTTTATTGCCGATATATTTCGCCTTCATAACAGACTTCTTTAGATGAATACAGAGGCGATATTTAAACCAGAGACAGCGATGTATTCAGTCTCTCAGCCTCGGAGAAGACATTTAGAGGTGTTCAATCCTTTAGACATACAGTTATTTTGAAGTGTTCAGTCCTTCAGCCTTGAAGTATTTATTTTGAGATATTCAGTCTTTCACTCTTGAAGAAATAATTTTGACGTAGTGCAAATCTAATTTTTTTCCGATGTTTTCTACTGTGACAAGCATCACTAACAACTAATATTTATGTACCAGTAATATTTAATTAGGAAAAAATTAATTTCCAAGTAGAAAAATGACATAGGGGTAATATCTTGTTTCAGTTTGATGAGTTGAAGGATTT